AAACTATCAAAAATACAAGATTCCCATGAAAGTTCCAACCTAACAATAAAAACCTCAAACTCTGTTTGCTATATTTCCCCTATTCATAAGGAGAAAACATTTCCAAAAACCTCCCTCACATACAAATAATATAAGAAATACCCCTAAAATTTAAGATAGAGTCAAACCTCATAGGGTCATGGGTGAGTTTGTTGTAATTTTGATACTTCCTGAGGTTTCCCATTTAATATCTCAAATTTCATGGGTAAATTTTGAAATGACCCAAATCCTGAGGGGTATATGTAACTCTAAATATTATAGATATATGTCAAACTCAGAGTATTGTTTATCAGTTATTCCTTTTTATAATATTGAACCTCGTGGCAGAAGCTCACCTCAAAGTACTGAATCAATTTGCACGAATGTCGGCCCACTGGCCCCACATATATCTCTTGCCCCCCTCTCTTCATCAAAAACAGCTGCAAAACCAAGAATGACCATGAACAAAACAAATAAAGAGGGAAAAACATAATAAAAGACAATTCTATCTCCATAAAAATCATCCTGCCTCATCAAATGCCTCAAATATGTCAATGCTAGGCTGATGTATGGTGCAAACAACTGTTCTTCCTGTGTCGACGGTGTTCCTAACTGTTCTCATCACGATTGCAGCAGCCCGTGCATCAAGGCCCGAAGTTGGCTCGTCCATAAAAATTATGGATGGGTTTGCAACGAGCTCGACTGCTATTGTAAGCCTCTTCCTCTGCTCGGTCGAGAGACCATTTATCCCTGGTAAACCGACTAGGCCTCCTCTTAGTGGAGAGAGTTCTACGAGTTCCATCACATTCTCTACAAATGCCTGATAAAAAAATCAAGAACTTATAAGTTGCAAGAATCCTTGCTAAAAGCCACAGATTAAGAAATTAGCAGTTCTCGTATGATTTTTAGAAGCCTCTGTGTTTTCTTAAGAAATTAACTAAATCTCTCAACTGAATAAATATTAAATTTTCACCTTGAGACGATATATTAAATTTATAACTGAATAAATAATCGAAGTTGAAGTTGCAAGAATATTTTCCCTAGTAGAAAATGCCAAAAAAAAGAAAGAAAAAAACCTTTCTGGTCTCGGCATCCACTTCAGACGGCAAACGTAGCCAAGCCGAGAAAAGCAATGCTTCGTAAACCGTAACACAAGGCGAATGAATATCATTCTGTTCACAGTATCCAGAAATACGAGCAAATGTCTCCTGCCTTTTCGGATAGCCAGAGATGGTGATAGTTCCTTCGATATAGCCGCCCGTTTTCCGACCCGCCAACACATCCATGAGTGTGGTTTTACCGGCCCCACTGACTCCCATAAGAGCAGTTAGCACCCCTGGCCTGAAAGCTCCACTCACACCCTTCAGGAGCAGTAATCGGTCTTCGGTAGCTCCTTGGTGTATCATTTCCTGCATGTTGTTGGGATGATGCTTCACCATTTTTCAGAAATTATGAAGGGAGGATTACCAAATTAACCCCTGAGGTCTGATGTAGTTACAAAAAATCCTAACATATTTTTGGACAAAGAAAAACACCATTGGGGATTGGTTTGACTCTGCCTTATTTGTACCCTATCTGACATTTGACATGGTGTGATGAGATTTGCAGATGTCATCAAATATTTTCCAGTGAGTTAGTGGCACCCCTGGACTATTCTTACAAATGGAATTCATCGTATGCAATATTTAGAAAATTTGAGAGATATAACTGTTAAATGTAAGATGAAGAAGAGTTAAAGATATTCGCAATATCTATAAAAAGATGGGAATTATAATAGTAAAATGCTTGATTGTGTCACCGATTTCAGTTTGTTGCACTCACCACACGTCCAACACGTAAAGAGGGTGTAAACCTTGGTTTTTGTAGTTTTCAAGTTGGACAGCCATTTTTTCGTAATTAGCTCACACCCCAAGGTTAGTCTAGTCATTATCACAACTATAAACTGTATTTTCAGGGAAAGGTTAAATTTGTGAGCCAATTACCTGTGGCATGTCAACAGAGTACTTGACCTCGTCAAACACTATGGAATGTGGTTCGAAAGGAAGAACAACTTGCCTCTTCTTTCGATCAGCTCTCCCTAGATTTTATTCAAGATACAGAAAACCAGAAGTTCAACTAGAGAAACAAAAATTAAATTTCATTAATGATTTTACACTCACAATTACGAAAATACATCAACTACTTCATATATAAAATAGAGGCCTAATCGATAAACTACTCCAAGGTTTAGTCTAATTGCCGAAAAGAAAGAGAAAAATTATTTTTATTTCCTAAAGTTATAAACATCACTAGAAATTTGTTTAAAAATAAAAAATAAAAAAAATAATAACATCCTCCACAGTACTGTTGGTAAACACAAATCTTAAGGGGAACTTGTAAATATGAAAGATAATTGAAGGGTTTTCGCTATTAGACTAAATTTTTGGTGTAGTATTTTAACTATCCCTAAAATGAGTTCCAGGATCCCATTTTCAGTAATGTAACTCACCATTTTGTGCAGTTAAGGCCTCATTCTCATTTTCTGGCAGTACAGCTTGAGGTTTTCCTAGAGCTGCAATCGGCAGCACCATATTACAGCATTAACTTCTTAGAAAAGCATAAATCCATAGGCAGTAAAGTTTAGGGGCACTCACGGTTGAGATAAGTTAGAGCGATAACAGACAAGACGTTGAATATAATTATCATGCCTAATAATGCTCCTATTCCAATCCAGTACCAGTCTGCGCTCGTAAAGTATCCCAAAGACTTCAAAACCTCCACTCCAAGAGTTATATTCGAGTTTGGTGATACCTTCTACACAATTTAAGAAGATAAAAAAAAAAATATATCGGTCATTGATTATCTTCACAACCTGTTCAAGACAGAAAAGCTAATATTATAATATAGAGTTATTACAGTAAACCCCTTTGGAACTTTGGGGTTTTTAGACAATGCCCTCTAAACGAATGCATTTTTCACTTTGCCCCATTAGTCCTTTCAGAATTGCATATAACTTACGTGTCTCCAGCTGTGACCTCTGAATTCATTCACCAGAATTGCATTCTGCGCGTACATCATGGGGGAGATATAGTAGCCCCATATCCACCACTTCTTTATACTATCTAGAAAGCGTTAACCAAAACGAAGATACAGAAGAAACAAATGAGTTAATATGATATTTTTCAGCTCCAATGTATAACTAAAAGCAGTAATTTATAATCATACCTCTCGAAAGGACAAAACCGCCCAGCGCAAAAACTAGAAGCAAAACAAAGAACCCGAATGTGTTTGCTATTATCATGTTCCTACCCATTGCACCAATCAACCGGAACACTGAGGATGCCGCTTGAATTTCAACTAAAAGCAGCAAGAAATACTTGATAAATCTGTTGATACTTTCAAAATTAGTATTGATATCTGTCCAGGGAAAAGAATAAAAAATATAAATTCTTTGCAACCTGAACTTTTATTTTTATGTTTATTTTTTTTTATTTGCAATATAAGAGCTAGCAATTCAGACCCTGTAACTTTTGTGTTGTTGCATTATACTGGTCCAATACGATTTAGTTCTGAGATAATTCATGGTCCTAGATGGTTATTCCCATTTTCCATTTATTCCCAAGATGCCCTAAAGTGGATAAATACCCAAAATGCATTACAGGAGCACACATATGTTATTATTCGAATTAGAGGTTAGAACTTTCAAGAATACGAAATGCCATGTTAAAAAGTTAAAAGGACCAAAACTGCCAACACTCAGCAATTACTATATCAAAATTGCAACTTCTGCCTAACTTTTCTCATTAAAGCGGTAAAAATGGTCAAAGTTCAGGTGGCAATTAATCGTAAGATATTATCACATGCCCAACCTTCCGAAATTGGGATCAAATCCAATGCCATAGTAAGTGAGTATCGTGAAGGCGCCCACTTCAACAATGCTGACCGGTATTTGCGTTATCCACAGGGGAAGAGCATAAGCCCACCCAGGGTAAAAGAAGAAATTCCTTTGCTTGTAGAAGACTGGAAGCTTCTGAATGGTCAATGCTATCTCCGCCATGCCATTAAAAAGGATAGTGGTGGCAGCGTAAAATAAAGCGCCAGCAAATACTCTTCCGTCAGATAGGCTATGGTGGTGCATCTTAACTCGAAGGAAAAGTGTCATTGCTATGACAGCCATTATGGAAAGCTGAAGACAGATTTTAAAAATTGCCATTTGTCAATAAGTTACACGAACAGGTGGGATGAGTTAATACCAGATAAACATTTTCTGTCATGTCAACTTACACTTGGGGACATTGGGGCAAAATATATGATAAAATCAGACTTCAGTCTATAGTTTCTATGATTTTTTTAAAAACTGATTTTTTATTTTAGTAACTAAATCAAACCTCAGAGTAAGTTTTTGTGATAAACCAGATCTCTTTTGCTTTTTGTTGCCATTTTCATGTCTCATCCCCACCTAAAATGTCACCCCTACTCAAACTGCCACCACTGGACACAAAAAAACTCACCTGTAATAGCTTGAATATATAAAGAAAAGAATTTCTTCTCATCAGCAAAAGCTCTCGGGATGTACAAGCTTTCATGAGCTCCTTTTTGCTGACGCCATATTCTTTTGTCGTTAAAGCAGCCGGGTGGCTTTTTTTCTTGTCAAACGGGATTGCCATCTCAGCCGTCAGTCCCTGCCCCACATGAAACGACTTGAATGCCTCGGAAAATTCCTTAACCGTAATAAACCTGTAACACTTATCCTTGTCTGCAAAATATTGCTGCTGGTCTTTCTTGGATGTTACCTGCATCAAACAGTTTGAATAGTCTGGACTCATTCATCGTTATATAGCAGACCAAAAGTGGCATTAACAAATTAATATTCATGCAGAAATCAAAATTCAAAAGAGAGAGAGAGAGAGAGGGGTAATCTTCAATAAACGCACATGTTTAGTACTTTATTGTTTTTCTTTTTCTAATTCGAAATTCGTAGGACAAAAAAAGGGGTCCACGTGTCCATATTAGTTTTTCAATTTATAGTTATAGAAGATTGGAACAAGACAGTTAGTTTCTTCTTTAAAAATTCAAGAAAAAGGATGTTTACTTCTTGCAAGAAGTCAGCAATCCCTTTTCTCTCAGGACATTTGAAACCCATGGACTGGAAGAACTCGAGCACAAACTCGCGTGGGCCCTCATAAACAATCTGCCCTTCAGATATAAGAATTATATCGTCAAACAGATCGTACGTCTCAGGCTCCGGCTGCAGGAGTGAAATCAGAACAGTCCCTTTCATGATGTGGACAAACTGTCTGATCGAGTTCACGACCTGGAAGGTAGTTGAGCTGTCCAGCCCAGTTGATATCTCGTCCATGAAAAGCGCTTTTGCGGGTCCCACCAGCATCTCACCTGTAGTTTCCGAATTTGTTAGGAAGATTTAGGCAGATTCTGCAAAAATTTGTGACTTTGAGACAAAATGGACCAACATAGGAAAAGTAGAAAATACTGCTTGAGCATGAGAAGTTGACACCATTTGCAAGCAAACGAAAAAATGAATTTGCTGAATAAGTTTGCAAAAAGCTTAACTTGCATGTAAAAGTCAAACCAAAAGCAGAATCATAATATGAAGCATCACATCCCAATGTTTTCAAAATTCGATTCAATTTATGCAACCAAATAATGCAGGACGAATTCTTAAGTACTGAGAACTTCTTGAAGGAGTATCTACGAGAATAAGTGATCTTACTGCAAGCTGAAGTGAAAGTAACTGAAAAATCAAAAGTTGATATAAAAACACTCATATTTCGACAAACGCCTTGTTTTATTATTTATTTCTCAATTAGTTGTAAACAATCCTAATTCAGCAATGCAAGTTTTCATTCATGACAAAAGTCGCCATTGTTTACCAGTGGTAACACGCTTTCGCTGCCCACCGGAGATGCCCCTAATCATCTCATCTCCTACAACGGTATCAGCACAAATATCCAATCCCAATATCTGCATGTGTATGTATACATAGATGGTGTATAAGGTTAGTTTGATGAATAACAACATATGCTAATCGGTCAGACATATTAGCAAACACCTTCAGTTCATATTACCTTGAGAACATAATCAGTCACAATGCTAGCTTCTTGACCTTCTATGGCTGCTGCCTGCATGTTTATTTAGTTAATATAGTTTGCACAATGAGATATTATTAGTTTACAATGGGTGAATTCATCACATGAAAAGAAAACAGAAAGAAAAATAAAAAGGGAATCTTGAAACTTCTCAATTTCTAGTTTTTACAACTACCCATCTTCTACATTCTGCGAGCTTCACACTCTGCAACCCTCCAACGTGGTAGAGATTGCAAATTGAGAAGCGCGGTGAGTGTAGTTTGGTGTTCAGGGGAAAAGAAAGCACAGTCGATAAGAACTCAGGAGGTTGCCAAGGAAATTTGAATTGGATACATTTTTTTGTTTTTTAATCAAGAATGATCCCATTGAATTCTTTTTTAGAGAAAAATATTATGCTGCATTTCATTACACAATTTTCTCTACGACTGCTATCCCAAGTAAAAAATAAAGATAATAACTATTATATACATTTCACTAAAAACTATTATTTCCATTTCCACATTTGAAACTTGTAATTTTGTATCACTTGTCAACATGTAATTTCTTACTTTCATGTATACATCAACATCAGGATCAGGCTTTATATTTGCTTGTTTTTCCCTCCTTGACAACTCTGCCAGCATTTCTGCACAAAATTCAAAAAAACTTATAATTAGCATCAAACTCTCAATGTGTTGTGTGTTAATCAATTCTTGTACTCGACGTTATATATATATAACGAAATATGAGTATCACAATTGATTAGCTTAAAACATTGAATACCAAAATAGAGAAGCGGGTAAAATTTGATTACCAAAGCATAATGTTATTACCTTCAAATTTTCTTCTAAATTAACAATCTAAATTAGCCAGTTTTTCGTTTTATACAATCTCCAATCATCCAAGTTGTAATGTTTCAGAATATGTTAATGTACCAGAATAATGCTCCTTGTACATAATTTTCAGATACTCATGCTATTTAGGTTAGCAAGAAATAAAATATACAAAAAAAATACCATGATTGTTTCCAACTCCTTGACATCTTGCAGAGAATGCTAATGTTTCTCTTACAGTCATTTCTCCAATATGAACATCATGTTGGCTTATATAAGCTGCTGTCCTTTGGGGTATAAATTCTTTCATGCCATGTCCATTATATGTCACACCTCTTGAAAACTGCCATTCATATACATTAATTAGCAACCGATCTAAATTAAAGCAGTTGATAATTAAAAGCCATAAATTTTACTTTCATATATATTTTGGAAATAAAAGCTAAAATATTGATATGTTTATCCACTACAAGAAAATGATGAAGTTCCAACGGAAATATATTTCAATAGAATTCCAACCGCAATTCCAATGGATATTTCATTGCTATTATTTCCATTGGAATAATTCCAACGAAAATTCCGACAAAAATATTCCATTTGAATGAGTTTTCCATTAGAATTTTCGTTGGATTTTAACGATTCCAACGATAGATTTTCCAACAGTGGTGAAAATAAAAATTTCAACGGAAATTCCTGCGGTCAAAAGCCGTTGGAAATATAGGCGTTGGAATCATCAAGTTTCATCTAAAATTCTAATGAAAAATACAATCCAACGGAATATTTTCGTTGGAATTTCGATTGGAATATATTACCATAAGATTTTCCGCTGGAATATAACATTGTTTTTGTAGTGATCGGCATGCATATAAGCATTCAACGAATAAAAATGTCAAAGAAAAAAAAAATCAAATTCAAAGCATGCATAATCAAAACTATTTAGCTAGCATTTTTTGTTTACTAATGATTAAAATATCACTTGTTTGGATGAAAAAATTTTGCACGAATTTTTTTTTATTATTATTATTATTATTGGCAGTTTACCTTCAATTGAGGATCAAGCATCCCAGCCATAGCCAATAAAAGTGTGGTCTTTCCAGAACTTGGAGGGCCTAGTAGAAGGGTCATGCTACCAATGCACCAAAAAAAAAAAATAAATAAATAAATAAATAAATAAAAATAAATTGCATTAATTTGGTAATATATATATGCAGAAGTATATATCCCCAAAATAAAAATTGAAATTAAGAGAAAGCTAAGTTACAGTAAAATATTACCGGCCAGGCTTTATGATTCCACTAACACTGTTTAAGATTGTCAATGGCTTCTTCTTGCTTGGAATCATATGAAGAATATTGCTTGATATTTCCTAGTGAAAAAAGAAACATAATTTAGTTAGAACAAAATGAAAGAAGAAAATATAGTAAATTTATCATTATTCATAAGTAACAAAAAAATTTTCAACCTCCAAAATATTTGTGAAAAAATTCATGAAAGAAGGCAAAGCCCTGCTCCCAACATAAGCTTCTGTTTCCACTTTTAGGTTCTCAAACCTAACTTCAATTGTAGGTAATTCAATCCCCACCCTGAAAACAAAAACAATAAGAAATACATAATTAAAATATATATATATATATATATATATATATATAATAAATAAAGCATGCACCACAACTAAAAAAGACTAAGACTGTATTGGACATAACGATTAGACGATCATACTTTTTCAAGATGTATGAATACCTGTAAATTAAAATTTCACACTTTAAGAAACATTATAAATAAAGTATGTCATTTTATATTATAAGTATGTATTTTTGTTAAAAAAAGTATGACGAGTCGACTCACCTAACGATTAGACCGTCTTGCAGAAGAAATTGTGAAAAATAAAATAAAATATTACCTATCCATTCTATTCTTGAGCTTCAACAAGAACTTCTCATTATCATCTTCCTTAACAAGCCTCTCAAGCAAATTCACCCTATCTTGAATTCCGAGATTTTGGACATCGACCTCATTAGCGGCCCCTCTTGACCCGAACAAAAGGCCCTTCCTAAGCCGGTCGAAAGTGGGAAGCTTCTCGAGCGCGGCCCACTTGAGAGCCTCTTCATCGTCCTCTTCACGGGCCGATATTGAAAACAACTCCGGCCCGTTATTGCTCCAGGCTGAAGAGCTTCTTCTCAGGCTAAAACTGGCCGTGTGCACATTATTCACATCCATCTTTTATTTTATATATATTTGATCTCAAGAGGAATAATTAATCGAATAACACTTACAATTGGATGTGGTACATATATATGAGTTGAGCATGAAATTTGCTGGAAATCAAATGTTCATTCATGCAAGATTATATTTTTGTGTATTTGTTATAATAGATGGAAGTTGGGCGAACTTGAAAATTTTAAATTATATATGCAGCAGCACATAACTTTTAATGTGTTTAGGCACTTAAGAGTAAATGTGGCTGGAGTCTATATATATACGTAAACATTAACTCACATGAAAATATATAAAATTGAATTTAATTAGTATCTTTGACATTTCATGTCCTAGTCAATTAATTAACAACCCTGTTCACAGCTATGTCGATCGATCTAATTTTACTTTTCTCTATAACTCTCAAAATATCTCATTAGGTGAATAGGGGTCATAAGCAAAATTACATCAATTATAGAAGAAAAATTAATATGCCAAAAATTTTGAACGCAATTTTTGTTGTCAATCTCTTGGGGTTAGAAATCTTGATCTTAGTTAAATGAAAGCATTTAATGCATACTTTGTTTTGGAAACTTTTTAAATATATGAATTAATTGCTTCCATATACACGTTTTCAAAAAAGATCAAATCAAATATGATAAAAAATATTGTTTCCTTAAATAAGTTTATTAATATCTGCAATAATTTCATTGATATCCATTATAATAAATTAAAAGATTGATTTTCCGTGATTCATGTTGATAATATTTTGGTCAAAATAAATATTCTAACATATTTTAAGTTCTAACCATAATATTATTATTTTTTTTACAAATATTCACTTTTTATCTAAAAATATTTATAGAAAATCGTAACATGTTAAGTAGAATTTTTTCTTCTAATTAATCAAGCAAAATCAAGTTGTTGAATTAATATATGCCAATATAATTTTTTCTTAAGCTTTATTTCGTTATATATAAAAATAAATTATTCATCAAATTAATATAATTTTATCATTGAAGAGATAATGACCAGATCATTGAATAGTTTACTGATGGCCAAAAATTAAAATTGTAATATATTAATTGTTTTAGAATTTATTTGTATATTATTGGCAACCATGATTATTCTTTTTATCATTTTTTTTTATTTTGATTTCTTTCTATAATGAAATTCTTGTAAAATAAATTTTTATTGCAAAGTATGCTAAATAAACTATAAATCCTTATAATAAAAATTAGAAAAATCTTGATTGTAGAAGGTATTGTGTTTTTGGCATTTGCCAAATCAAAGTTGTTTAATTAGTATACAAAATTAAATTCTAAAAAAACATGTGTGTATATTTTATAAAATATTTATACCCTATTTAATTTTTTTATTTGTTTTTTAATTTATTTACATATTTTAAATTGATTATATAAATAAATAATAATAACGTGCATTAAATAATTTAATTACATAAAATAAAAAGAAAAATAAGACGTATAACCTTCAATAACTTTTATAAATAATAATGACATTATATGACAACAATATTTATAATAAAATAATAATTAATTAAGTATTTTATGTTGAACCATAATAAGTAAAATTGTTATTTTCTCTAATATCAAGAAATAAATATATATACTAAAATCACATTTTTATTAGTATAAATGTGTTAGTGAGATAATATATTAATTATTTTACAAGCTAGCCCTAACATGTATGCCTAAAAAACAACGATGATTAAAAGAGGGAAAAAATACATTAAGAGATGGAAAATATATGATAACTCTATTGTTTTTTAGACTTAAAACGAACACAATTTGTGTGAAAATAATTTATACACATGTTTTACAAAATGTATTATGTCTTCACTAATATATAACCACTAATTTCTATTTTATTATTTTGATATTTAATCAATTTTAAACGTGACTACATTTTTGTCTTATATAAATCACACCTCGAAAATATCTCAAAGACGCTTTCCGGACACTATCTGGTCTGGTGAAAGAAAATTGTCAAATCCGATCACACTTAAGTACAGCTAGAGGCTATATTTATAATTTATGGCCCTGCCTATTTATATTGAACTAAGATATACGAAAAACTGGACAATATTGTTACTCTGCAATTAGAGACAATTTAAACGTGTTGCCGAGAATAGTCAAGTAGCAATTGGTTTTAGAGTGATTTGGTTTCTTGTTGATTATGTAATAAAAATTGGTTTAGTTATGCTTTTACACTTCATTTTTTTTATAAATTAAAAACTTAAAAAAATCTAAAATCACTTCGGGGGTGTATGAAAATTAACTCCAAGATTGAATGAGTCGAAATATAAGTAAAAACTAACTTTAGGTAGCTCAAACCTAGCTACATTGCGGAACAATGGGGGTTGATTTTGAATTGTAATCAAATATATTAAATTCTTGAATTGTTGATTTTGAATTTACAATATTACCATCAAATTCACTAACCTTAAAAATCCTTCTATAATTCCTTTTCTACAATAATACTAGTAATATTGTATTCCCTAAAACATATTATCGTTCAAAATTAATCTCCAATAAGTTTGTTTAATTTATTAAAAGATGTTATTATTACAATTAAAAATTAGGAAAAGATATGTAATGTTGTTTTTTTTTTTTAAAAAAAAAAAGAATACTTTCGACAAATAGATATTACAAAATAATACTTAATAACTTATATTACATCGTAAATAAAGAAAATCTTTTATTATCTTATACAACATTTGTTATTTATTATTTTTGCCTAATTATTACTTTTATCAGATTTTTAGAGGTTTCTCAAAAGTTAATGGGATATATATTTTAAAAAATAATTTATAATATTTTTTTTACTTTGATACTCAGATTATAATCGAAAGATATTATATTTAATGAGGCTTTTAGATATTTACTACACTATAGATGTAGGAAAGAAATAACGAATTAGAAAATTTGAGATTGCAAGAAATTTACTAGAACTAAGTTTCCCTGATTCAATCTAAATATTAATGTTTAGCACAACGATCTTACGCTTAGGCATGCCCCGCAGTCCTATTAATTTAATGTGTGTTTAGTATTTAATGTGAGCTAGAGTATACATTAGTCTATTTTAGATTCATTTTTTCAATGGTGCTATAGGGATTGACCTTTAGACATTGTTGCTATTGAAGCCAATATATGCAGGGGCAAACCGTTTGCATTAATATTGTAATAAAATAAAACAAAAGAAAGGACCCTTGTTTTGAATTCTACTCCGTGTTTAAGTTTGGGGAATTTTCTAAAGTCCCGTTGAGACTTTCCAGGAACCATTCCCTCAAAATTAAAGCCAATCATAATCCGCCACATCATTTACTAACATGCAATAGAATGTAGGCTAACTTTTTCAATTTTAAGAAGACGTGTCAGCGCAAGTTGAATGAATATTTATCTATATTACTTATCAGCCAAATTATTTTTAATATGATCGCATAAATGTATAAAAATAGGATGCGAGATGTAATGTAAAAATTAGTAATATAAAAAGTATTTTAAATAGGATGATATTTAAAATTTTTATGCTAAAAAGTAAAAACAAAATAGAAATAGAAATTTTTATTTAAAATTTTAAATATTTTTTAAAAAATTTATTATTTTTTTCATAACTCATACCATATAAAAGAATTTATAGATACATGTTTTTATGTCTATATTGTTAACAACAAATTGATATTAATAAATAATATCACATGTTAACTCTACATCTTTAATTTGTAATTATTATTTAATATTGTTTATCCACATCTTTAATTTACAATTATTATTTAATATTGTGTACCCGTGCATCGCACGTCGCACGGGCTATACACTAGTAAAATAGAGAAAGAGAGAAAGAATAATTGTGCAACAATCATTGTGCAAATTACAAACGGACAACCCCGCGAATCACATAAACTTTGCGGGGTTTGAATATATTGCACGAGATACGAATAAAAAACCAAAAGATCTTCTACTCTATTACTCAAAACACTTTTTTCGAACGATCTTGGTAGAGCGATCGAACGGAGCTCTCAAATCTCACAAGCTCCCAAGAAGAAGAAGAAAAATCGGCTCATAATAGGGAGAGAGCAGAACGTATATCTCATCTATCTCTCGTGTTTGGAGGCTTGAGACTTGGCTACGGGCCACCCGGCCTGCAGGCCCAGCCCAGTCAAACCTGTTGACCACGGGTTCGGGCCCGGCTTAGATTTCAACCGGGCCGATCCAGGGCCTTGTCTTTGTCGACCTTGGCCCGGCGGGTCGGGCCAGAACGGAAAAAAGGCACTCATTTTTTTTTTTTTTATATGGACCGCCGGGCCATGGACCGGGCACGGACTTAGGCCGTGCCGGCTCAGGGTCCATGTAACCCAAACCTCCGGTCTGCCTTTTAGTCATGTCTAAGCTACAGTAGAGACCCTAAGAATGTGTTAAATATGGACTTATCAAGCATGAGTCAAATTGCGGGTCAAGCCCACTCTGCTCAATACTCGAATAATAAATTATTCCAAGAAATATTATCGGACTCTCAATTTAACTCAGAACTACAATTAACTCATTTCCCTATTTATTGCTCGATTTATATCCCCGTTTAAGGTTTAACGTCCATTGCTTAATTTATTACTGACAATAAAATTAATCAACTTCTCGAATTCGAAACTAGTACCACTCAATTTTTTATTATTATGTTGAAAATTAATCCGTTGAGTTTGACATAATAATCCTTCTTGAGCTCATTTCGGAGACGTCATCAACCCGGACTTTTCATGCAGCCACCATTACTCACCAAAATAGAGTACGTCGACCTACCAGAATACGTCTCACCCATGATAAATTAAATAAATAAGTATCGACTACATATGCCCGTACATTATCTCATGAGTTAAGAATACGCAACAAACACTGAGGTCTAGATTATTTAATTGGTCAGTATAAAATAATCTTATTCTCTTGTGGGTCCGTTCAATACATCTAGGATGTACTAGTGTAATCATTAGTCTAAGATCAACTAATTTCAAC